AGGAAGTACACACAGATATACAGGAAGTACACACAGATATACAGGAAATATACACAGATATACAGGAAGTACACACAGATATACAGGAAATACACACAGATATACAGGAAGTACACACATATATACAGGAAGTACACACAGATATACAGGAAGTACACACAGATATACAGGAAGTTCACACAGATATACAGGAAGTACACACACATATACAGGAAGTACACACAGATATACAGGAAGTACACACGGATATACAGGGAAGCACACACAGATATACAGGAAGTACACACAGATAAACAGGAAGTACATACAGATATACAGGAAGTACACACAGATATACAGGAAGCACACACAGATATACAGGAAGTACACACAGATATACAGGAAGTTCCCACAGATATACAGGAAGTACACACACATATACAGGAAGTTCACACAGATATACAGGAAGTTCCCACAGATATACAGGAAGTACACACACATATACAGGAAGTTCACACAGATATACAGGAAGTACATACAGATATGCAGGAAGTTCACACATATATACAGGAAGTACACACACATATACAGGAAGTACACACATCAAGACCAGTCACAAGAATCTGTCATGTTCAGTGTGTGAAGCTTGTTTTTATACCCTTATCAGTTCAGCTGAGCTCACAGACTTGGAGGCGACCCTGGAGCTACAGCTGCACGCAGCCGCCTCATCCAACTCCTCATTCAGCTTTCTACTAACATATGGTTCATGAGCAGAGTTAACATTCTCAGCCATAGTAGTTAAAAACATCCATAAACTTTGACCAAAAATCCCCTAACACCAGTATCTAACTGGGCTGCATATGTTGGTGAAGAGCTCTAGCAAGTCTCCAAAATGTCTCAACTTCCTCACACGAGTCCTATAAGTTGCAGGATTGTTGCTTGAATTTTGAGCATGTTACAAAAAAATTGTGTGACAATTTATCTTCTCAAAATAATCAAGAGTTCAGAAAAGCACCTTGAACCTTAAAATGTATTTCTATACATCTAGATTTCTGGAGTTGTATTCCGACAACAATCAAGTGTGAAAGTATTCATAAGTTGTGTTTTCATTGACTTCAGCTCCACAATACAAAGTTTAGGCTTGAATTCTTTATATCACTTTTTATTTTTTTAATTGGTCATCACTTTAAGGCAAAGAAGGACAAAAATGTTTATGCATGTGTTATTGTGTGTGTGTGTGTGTGTGTGTGTTACTAATACATATCATGAGCTCCTGGACTAATTTTAATAAAACATGCAGAAAGTAATCATAGGGTTAACAACTACAAATCTTAACTTTGCAAGTCAGTACAATTCAAAATGGCTGCCACAGCTATAAGATTAGTTTGTCTTTGTTGCATCTGTAAAAGTCTGTCACATTCCTCTCATGGATGTTTGTAGATAGATTACATTGCAGTTTCTCATGAACATTATCCAAATAACAGGTGTCCACGTGACACACAGAAGAGTCCTTTCAAACATGTAGGACTCAGAATTGAGAGAAAAGAGAGTTTGACCTTCATTGTTTGAATTAATAAAAGTGCCACCAACACTGCAGAAGCCTTAATTTACTGCAGTTTGACGTGGCTGTCACAATACAAATTTTGCTGGGCGATGAATTGATTTATTGTTTATCTCAACAGGCCTACATGGCTGAAGATTTTTTTTTTGTGGAGGTAAGAAGCCGTTTCCTACCTGACTCTCGTCCAGGAGCTCTTAGATGGCGCAGGATGAAACGCACCTCCACCCTCTGCTGCCCCCATCGCTGCAGCACCTCCAGCATTCGCTCCTCTTCTTCCACTACACGCTCTGAAAGGTGGGAAAACAGGACAATCGTTGTTACAGGTAATAAACCAGATAACTACACAGTAGGGCATTAACAGAGTACTCGAGTAATCTACACATCGATTGCCAGGACATCTATCGAGATTACAAATGTAAAGTCGGGTATCCGTAGTGACGTCATATTATGTGACCACCGTATGACAGTAGGGGGCGGTGTTGCACTGTTGCAGCTCACAGAGTATGGTGTAACACCGGGTCTAATCCACCGAACCAGAACCAGTTTCGGTTTAAGTTTCGTTTTTGACGTGCTGCGTTTCATTTATAAAGCTCCAAGTCACAACAGAAGTCATCTCAGGGCAGTGAACAGAAACATTTATGCTCCTTCGCTCACGCCTTTCTCCCACCAACCACAGATGCCAGCATTCTTCCATGTCACTTTAGTTAATCATAGTTTTCATTCATTATTAGCTGAGTCTATTAGTTGAACTCCCAACTTCTTTTGTGAGTACCGTAGTTTTGGTTGAAAAACATTTAAAATGTTGCCATCATCTGGACTTCATGTGTTCTTTGAGCCAGTTCGTGACACACAGACCATAAATATTCTTTTGTAGTAGAACGGCATCAAGCTGCTGCAGAAAATTTGGTTTTCACTACTTCTACTGTATGTCGACAAAATGTGTCTAGTCAGTGAACAGTTTATGGTCAAGTAGAAAAGTGCAGCCATTGAAAACTCACCTGTCCCTCTCCACATCTCAGCCAAGTAGCACTCAGCCTCGCCAGGCTCCTTGCAGAGCTCCATGACATCTCTGCACATCGTCTCTGGCATGATGGGAACCTCAGTGAAGTGCTGATCATTGTTGCTGAGGTACACCGGGAGAAACATCTAAAAACACAGAAAACAAACCGGGGAAATGATGGCTCAGGTCAAACAGGGTGTCTGTGTGATCGAACACACAAAATAAAGATGCATTTGACAAACTGAACAGCTACCCCCCTCCTTTTTAAGTCGTATTTACAGTGAGAGAGATTTTCTAAGGTAATTCTGAGTTTGTCAGCACTTTCCTGGTTCAGTTAAACTAAAAGGTTACCTGGCAGCCACAAAGGGCTCCAAGCTGTTGAGTTGTAAATAAAGTGCTACATGAAGTAATATGTGCTGCAATCAGTTCTTCGGAGGGGGGCTCGTGGGAGATTGTTCTTGCTACTGTCAGCAACCAATGTCCTCGTCAACAAAAACTTTAGGCAATCACATTTTTAGGTCTTGCATTATTCAACAGAATAAACAGGAAGTGGTGAAAGTCAGTGACAAAGACAAATGTGTCTATGTGAAATGCAGCAATCCAGCATGCTGTCCCACATCCAGCTGAGGGAAAAGTGGAGCAGTGCTGTCTTCTTTCAGGTTCAGGGGGAAGAACTGGGTCACTGCTGTCAGTCACCACACTAAGGTCAACCAAAAAAAGCCTGAACTAAGCAGAGACTGGGAATACAATGCTGTCGGCCCCTCAGGACAACAGGAGGAGGAGTGAGACCTCCTGTCACTGCTGATGCAACTTCAATAAGTACACAGACTGAAGGAGTCTGCATTCATACAAGTGTTTATACCTGACAAAGACAAACATTGGTACTCAATGTAAGACTAACTTTCTGTCAGAGATAAAACTAAAATGATAAGAGAGACAGCAGGGGAAACTAGAGCCTGGCTGACATGGACAGTTTTGCTATTGCTGATACAAATATATCTCCAAGCGTCTATCGTCCTAAAATATCGGCCCTACCAATATATTGGTCGGGTCTAGTGTGAACAGTGAGTGCTGGCCGACTTTGCTGAAACTTACTGAAGAATGAAATAACTAATTTGTTAAAGTTAAAACAAGAAGAATAGAAGATAAAGTCAGCAAAACAATAGATAAAGCTAAAATGAACTAAACTAAAAGCAAATCAAAGAGCAAATGTTTGATGTTAAAAGCTAAAATTAGCAACACTGTCACTAAAAGAGAAAATTGGCAATATGTTTCTAAAAGCTAAAATTAGCCCAAAAAGTGTCTTAAAGCTAAAATTAGCAAAACCATACCTAAAAGCAAAACTGTAGCTAAATCCAAATAGCAAGAAAGTAGCTAAAAGCTAAAAGTAGCATAAAAAGACAAAAATAGAGTAGGTATGATGAAGAATATTCCAGAGAACAATGTTTATGAAAGAATTTAGATTTTTTTGTATTTATACGGGGAAAAAAATGTTAATAAAGTGAAAACACATCAAAAAGCTTTAACATCACAAATAACAAAAGTCATAGCACATTGTTACAGATAAAGTTAAATGTTTTGATATCTGAATGATTAAAACAACACCAAGTAAGCAGGAGTTTCATTGCAAAAACAGGTAAGAAAATATAAACAGAAAAACAATAGTTAGAATCGATAAGTCTTATTTTGGCATGAAAATCTCAAGGAAGGCAATCAGACTGACCGTCTGGATCTTGTTTGGATAAAAGTTTCTAGAGCTTTGACAGAAGCTCTATTTAACATATTTTCATTCCCAACAATGGCAAAGCCCTTTGCATCAATTTGTTATGCAACAGAAACTCCTCAAGTGAAACTTTCCAACACATCAACAAGAACTCACCAGGAAGAATAACCTTCACATCAACGTGAAGAACAAAGGAGATGGTTGTGGACTTCAGATGGAATAAACACACCTACCCACGCATAGGAGGATCTGCAGTGGAAGTGGTCTCCAGTTACAAGTACTTGGATGTGCACCTGAATAACAACCTCAGCTGGGGAAACAACACTTCCAGCCTGATCAAGAAAGCTCATCTCTACTTCCTCAGGCGGCTGAGACGAGCTGGTCTGGGAAGCTCAGTCCTCACTTCCTTCTACAGGTGTGCAGTGGAGAGCATCCTGTGCTCCAGCATCAACGTGTGACATGGAGGCTGCACAGCTGCAGAAAGAAAAGCTTTGCAGAGAGTGGTGAAGGCTGCACAGAAGATGTTGGAGTCAGTCTCCCCACCATCACAGACATCTACACCTCCAGATGCAGGAAGAGAGCCACCTGCATCATGAAGGACCACACTCACCCAGCACACACACTTTTTGTCCTGTTCCCCTCAGGAAGAAGATTGAGGAACATTAAGTGTAGAACCACAAAATTGAGGAACAGCTTCTACCCTGGAGCTGTGAGACTCAGGAACCCTAGTCAGGATAATCACTGTGAAAATTACTGTGAAAAAAATCACTGTGAAAAAAATCACTGTAATGCCACTTGTTCTATTTTGTATAGGCTTCGCCCTTTAAGGCTATCGCTAGTGGGTTTCTCCCTTCGCAAGCAGCGCAGCATTGAAAACTTTAGTCCGCTCCCACAGGCCCCACCCCCGGTCCGTATATGAGACCGGGCGTGGCCAGCAACAGCGGCAGAGGCGCTCCACAGCTCTGGCAGTGACTTCACACTCCGCTCTTCCGCCGGCCCCCTCCACTAGGGAACAACTCAATGAGGGGAATATGCATGTTTTTTGATGATGTATGTTTTGAAATAAAACAGAAACATCTCTAAGAGTAACGTTTTATCTGATTCCAGCCTGAATGTCAGATCAACTGATCTCACAGCTGCCTCTCTTCACACATGCCCCACACTGAACGAGCCGGTAACCTCTAAACAGCATTTAAAGGCACCGCAGCTCGGTAAATCTCACAAAACACTCGTCTGCCACTTCAGTTAAAAATAATGTTTTTTCAGCAGACCGAGTCCAGTAAAATCCCCAGCTCTTAGCCAGAGCCTGTGTTATTTTCTGCTGTTTCTGCCCACTCACCATGCAGCGGGAGTAAACGTGTTTCTCCACGACAGCTGAAGCCTCCACCAAAACGGCGTCTCACTCAAAAAAGCGCTCATGCCTCCTCTCAGTGCGCGCCAGCTCACCTCAGCTCTAATGTGAGACCGCAGCCTGGGCTCAGCACAGAGGCGCACATACAGCCCTTTCTGTTGGAGTCCCCCCCAGAGAATCTCCGGAACGGGTGATGGCGGTAGGTTTTTTTTTAGCCTGGTTGATGTACATGAGAAACATGACAACACGAAACGCGCGCCCACTCTCCGAGTGTTACTCAGAGTGGAAGCAAGTGTGTTCCCTGGACAGATGGATGGACCATCTGATCAGCACGGGTTACATGCTGCAGTTCACAGCTCAACCTCCACCGTTCAGTGGGATTATAGAGACAGTTCTGTCTTCTCCAGAACAGAGCTTGTCTCTCCAGTCAGAAGTTCAGGAATTCATGATGAAAAACGTGATTTCCAGAGTTCCCAATGGAGAGAAAAACATGGGGTTTTACTCCTATTACTTCCTGGTTCCAAAAAAACCCAGAGGTATGAGACCCATTATCGACCTGTCCATGTTCAACAAATCGATCATGGAGAAACAATTTTACATGCTGACAAACAGCTGCTGTAGAACGTTCGCCAGAACGACTGGTTCACCTCCATAGATCTGAAGGACGCATATTGTCATATTCACATCATTACGAAACACAGGAAATTCCTGTGTTTCTCCTTCCAGGGGATTCCGTATCAGTACAACAGGCTACCGTTCGATTATTCCCTCGCACTTTCTCAAAATGCGTAGAGACGGCTCTGCAGCCATTACACATGGCAGGAATGAGAATTATTTTTTATCTGGATGATCTGCTTTTATTAGCTTGTTCCAGACAGGAGGCAGTTGCACAGACAAAAACGTTAACTTGACACCTGCTAAACCTGGGTTTTTCTATAAACTGGGAAAAGAGTTCCATTCTCCCGTCCCAGATGATCATTTATCTGGGAGTGGAGCTAAACTCAACTACAATGAAAGCCCGTTTATCACAGCCAAGAGCCAAAGCTCTGTCAGCTCAGCTCTGCCATGTCAAACCCCGCAGTGTAGTAACAGCTCTCTTGGTCATGCGACTCCTGGGGATGATGTCATCGGCTCACGCTGTGGTTCCGGTGAGCTTGCTTCACATGAGATGCCTTCAGAGATGGTTCGCCCGCCTGCGCATAGATCCTGTGCGTCAGAAGAGGCAGATGATCTCTGTGCCCCCCTCCATGAGTACTGATCTGAATCACTGGGGAAACCCCCTCATTCTGTCAGAGGGAGTTCCCATCAGCAAGCCTATGTCACACGTCTCAGTTTTCACAGGCGCGTCCCTATCAGGCTGGGGAGGAAGTTGTTTGTCCCAGGCAGTGGGAGCACAGTGGTCAGACCACATGTCGCTTCACATAAATGTGCCAGAATGTCTCACGGTCTGGAACGTGAGTCGGCATTTTGCTCCCTTGCTGCGAGATCAGCATGTTCTGATCCACACGGACAACAAAGTGACGGCAGCTTACATAAACTGTCAGGGAGGCGTGCGCTCAGCCCAACTGTTACGCATCGTGAGACAGCTGCTGTGTTGGGCACACAAAAACCTGCTCTCCATCAGAGCAGTGCACATTCCTGGTATCCTGAACAGGGGAGCGGATATAATGTCAAAGGGCAGTCCCCGCCACGGGGACTGGAGCCTCCATCCCGAGCTGACCTCTCAGATTTGGAGCAGGATTGGCCGAGCAGCAGTAGATCTGTTCGCCACATGGGAGAATGCCCAGTGTCAATTATGGTTCACACTGAGCCCACGGGACGACCCACCATTAGGGGAGGATGCCTTCGTTCAAAGCCCGTGGCCAAAAATGCTCATTTATGCAACCCCCCCCCCCCAGTTCTGCTGATATCACGAACCCTGAACCGGGTCTGGGAGGAAAAGCTGTCAGTCATCCTCGTAGCTCCCGAGCGCATAAGCGCCCCGTGGTTCCCGAATCTGCAGCGTCTGATATCGGGTCGGCCGTGGAAACTGCTGTGGAGGGGGGACGCTCTCCTCCAGGCAGGATGAGCGA